CCTCCTGAGGCCCTCTGCATCCCCTCATGAGACCATCTGTACCCCTCCTGAGGCCCTCCGCACCCATCCTGATGCCCTCTGCACAAGACATCAGGCCGGCATTCCAGGGCAGAGAGGTAGAGCAGAGTATGTACCAAATTTATATACTATTATTCTGCATTGCCTTATAATGTATTGCTGGGATTTGTAGTCCTCGATAGATGATGACAGTCTGCATTAGAGTGTAAGCTCCTCTGTACAGAGATTGATGTGACTGGCTCAGTGTTCTCTGTACAGTACTGCGGTATATGTCAGAGCTATATATATGCCAGTGAGATCCAGTTCTGGCACTCTCCCTTGGGAGCGGGAAGTGGGGGGGCAAGAAAAAATATTGCACCAGGGCCCTTTGTTCCTTAGGTCCGCCACTGCAGTATACACATACTTTCCTTTCACTCTCTCGTGTCTCTGTTTAGCCATTGGGAGAGAAAGGAAAATCCTGTACAGGTGAAACTCGAATAATTAGAATATCGTGCAAAGTTCATTTATTTCACTAATGCAACTTAAAAGGTGAAACTAATATATGAGATAGACTCATTACATGCAAAGCAAGATAGTTCAAGCCGTGATTTGTCATAATTGTGATGATTATGGCTTACAGCTCATGAAAACCCCAAGAACCCCAAATCCACAACCTCAAAAAAGTAGATTGTTACATGCAATCAATAAAACAAGGATTGTACATAGAACAATATCGGGCCTCTGAAAAGTACAAGCATGCATATGTACTCAGTACTTGGTTTGGGCCCCTTTTGCAGCACTTACTGCAATTACTTTTGCACGATATTCTAATTATTTGAGTTTCACCTGTATATGCAACAAGTCTACTTAGAGCTATGGACTACCCATGTGACAACACTGATGGGCCCAGTGATGTCACATGGAGTGAGGTAAGTATATGCTTTGGGGGTGGGGGATTAAAGCAAACCTATCACTTTACCTTGAATGGGTAAAACACAGGTTTGCTTTAAGGACAGAGCTACATGGAATGTTTCAGCATCTTAATCACAGTACTGTAATAATATAAGAATAGTTATAATACGAATACTTATCAATCACTAAAAAATACTTGTATAAGCGCCCAGCAGCATTTAGCAGCGATCAGTTGCACATAACTGGAAATAGCGTGATCATGCAAAAATATTTTCTACTGCTTGCTCTTATTCTCCTATAGTTTACTATAGAGACCTATCTGTTCCATCTGAGGCTCCAGTGGCTTCCCATCAGCACACTAAGCACAGGGAGTCGCTCACTCGCCACTGCCAGCATTCAGAGAATGTCTTGTATTTATTTAATTGAATAGATTGTGCTGTCTGAGTGGACGAAGTAGAGAGGAGGGGTGGATCATGTCACCTCATCCAATCAGAGAATACATTGTATTCACTGAAAAAATACAATGCGATGAATGGTGGCGTGCCGAGCGAGTGCCTCCCTGTGACCTGTGCAAAGAAGAAGCTGATGGAGGTGCACCAAGAAGATCAAGCCTATCACTGTATGCAACACAGACTACTACAGTGATTTTCAGCATCCCCAGCTCCCCTCTGGATATCAGATATGGATACTTACATTGAGCCAAGCTGGACCAACATAGGTTTCCATAAAACATCATTCCTGGCATTCCACTTTAAGGAATTGAGAATCTTCACACAATAACCTGTATAAATATTCATTTCAATTGTTCAGGGATGTAAAATTATGATTTATTTCATCTGCACATGAATGAGTATTCAAAGTGTACACAGCTACAGTAATGGATTCTCAATGCCTTTAATAAATCAGCCCTTTATGGTATCAAGAGACGACACATCTGTGATGCAGCTAGCACTCTTGTTCGGCATCTGAAAGTAGAAAAATTTAGTAGATTGTAAGAGCAGCCTGTGTACAATTATATTATGGTGACAACTTTCAGTAGCTGCTGCTTTTGATTTCCATCACACTGAATTCAAGAGCTTGAAAATCCTGGAGCAGGACCAGTTGGCCAAGCAGAAAATGAAATTACTCTTTAGAGCTCTGATTTTTCTTTAGCTAATATTACAGCTGAAGGAAGAATTGGCTGAACCTTTCAGTAACAATAATTCATGTTTATGCATATGATATTAAAGGTAATTTACACGCACATTAACCACTCCTAGATTTTGGCTGCACAAATGTTGTTTTTTAAGCAGTAAGGACTTGAGGTTTGCAATGGAGAACAGTGGACTGCCCATGGTCAAGTTCACAGACATTACACATCCCTAAAATGTATACAATGTTTTGGTTTTACATTAGAAAATTGCTACTAAATTGCTGTCATTGGCAGAGATTATGCCATAAATAGTTTAACTGCACATAATGATATTGAATGTCAGATTACTGCATAGACTGGGAGGATAAACCACCAAATTCATGAAGCATTTGCATACCACATGAAAAATTATTTTTTACTACAGTGTATATATGAGTTTACATAATAACAAGGGTATATGGAGTGGATCACACCGATACAAATAATCCTAATTCAAATGTCAGCAGCTCATATTGGTCGTTCACTTGGCGATTTTGGAGCTTTCCATCAGTTTTCAGCCACAGCAATCTTACTCATATGTGGACATTTGGCTCCTAGTTTTGAGAGGCCAAATGGTGAAAGTTGCAGTGAAAATTGATCTAAAGCACCACAATGACAGTTAAAAGGCCTTTTTTAGACAACTTACATTGTGACTTAAACCTGGCTGGTGATTGAATCTGTAGGTCATCTGTTGCCTGGGATAAAAACAGATGGAAAGTCACCAAATTGCAAACATATATATGCAAACAATTGTCAAATATATATTGTCAGCATTGGACAGGTTAACTGTGATTGGTAACTATGGGCTACAGTATTAATGGATGTACTGTAGTGAGATTTCTTAAAAAAAAAAAGATGACTCAACACTAGGGATGCACCGATACCACTTGTTTAAGACGGAGTAAGAGTACCGATACTTTTGATCAAGTACTCGCAGATACCAATTACCGATACTTTTTTTTAAAGGGACAGCTTACATTTTTTCTAAAGCAATACAAACTAATGCTTTAAGGTCACTTTCTTAATATTATGATTCATGAGATGATGAGGGAGCATGGCGCTGGCTTCCCGGCCAATCAGAATGCCGGGCGCTGCGTCATTACACGGCGCCCGGCTTCCGGATTTGCTAGCTTCCTGACCAATCGGGAAGCCGGGCAGCGTGTAATGATGCGCTGCCCGGCTTCCTGATACAGGAAGTACTTGTGCTAGGTATCGGAGCATTTGGGCGAGTACGAGTACTCACCAAAATACTCTGTATCGGCACCGATACCGATACTAGTATCGGTATCAGTGCATCCCTACTCAACACATTTCTAGTTATCACTGTGGCCAGTCAGTCAGAAGTCTGATCAGGTTACGAACATGTTCGAAAACCAGCCGAGCATCGTACGATGTTCGGCGGGTGTGTAGCATGTTCGTACGATAAAAGTTGAACGGGCAGGTGTGCACAAGCGCACACTGCCCATTCGGCATTGCGGTCATCGGAAGCCCGCCCCTCAGGGGGGCGCGGCTTGCGATCATCGCAAGTACGATCTGCCTGTCCAAGATAGGCAGATCGTACGTTTTTTTAAGTACCTTACAAGCATCGCAAGGCAAAAGTCTTGCGATGGTTGAAGGGTGTGTGCCCAGTATTAGAATGCAATTCCAGGAAATAAGCGAAACCATTTGGTGATACTTTTTCTCTTATCCACTGCAGCAAGATTCCACAGAACACCTCACATGTGTATCATGCGACTTCCTCACAATGATTTTCACATCACCAGTCATGTTGAACCTGATAGGCAGTTGTAAAAAAACTTCTTAGTACTGGCACTGATACAGCAGGCACCCTGTATGTGAGAGACAACAAGGAGCTTGCAGTAGATGTGTTTGTGAATACATGTTCTACATTACACACAGGCAAGCAAAAGGGAATCCTCTTGACCTCCTTGATTGGATTTGAAAAAAGGGACTAAGGTGGACTGGTTTGCGGTAAGCGTGCCTGGATAAAAACTAGAAATGAGCAGGATGTGTCCTGTATGCATATTAAAGCCAACAGTCAATTGACTGAACTCTTGTGTATTTAACAGACCTGTAAAACTCCAACTAACAATCTACAGTGAGGAAAATAAATATTTGATCCCCTGCAGATTTTGTACGTTTGGTAAGTGTAGTTCTGGGCTGTTTTCTCACTTTTTCATGATCATCCTTACCCCATGAGGCCAAATCTTGCATGGAGCTCCAGACCAAGGGCGTTTGATGGTTATTTTGTATGCCTTCCATTTGCGAATAATCACTTCACTCCAACAGTTGTTTCCTTTTCACCAAACATCTTGCTGATAGTCATGTAGCCCATCCCAGCCTTGTGCAGGTCTACAATCTACAGTCCCTAACGTCCTTTGACAGCTCTTTGGTCTTGCCCATGGTGGTGAGGTTTGAATGGAAGAAATAGTTTCTGTGGAAAGGTGTCTTTTATATACATAACAAGTTGTCGTTAGGAGCACCTTCTTAAATTGACAGGACTAATCTGTGTACCACATAGCCAGTCGGCGGGAGCCAGAATTATTATTGGTTGGTAGGGGATAAAATACTTATATTACTCACTGAACTGCAACTCAATTTATAACATTTGTATCGTGTTTTGTTCTGGATTTTTGGTTGATATTCTGTCTCTATCATTTAAAATACACCTATGATAAAAATTATAGACCTTTCATTTCTTTGTAAGTGGACAAACTTACAAAATCTCCAGAGGATCAAATAAATATTTTCCACATTGTACATCTTAAGATGATTTATTCTTAGTGTGATGTTAATCATAAGTGACATTTAAACATGATACATTACTGGTCACTGCTTTCTATATTTTAATATGTAAGTTAACTGTAAACATATTTAAGATGTAATATTAGATGGATGAAACTTGTTTGTCTTTACATAGGAAATAATGCCAATCCCGACCTTGAAAAGACTGCCATGCTATCCAGCAGAGATAAGTTCTATTTAAATCAAATTGAGGAAACACTTCACAAAGCAATGTCAATGCTGCAACAGGAAGGCTGGCAGGCTGAACAGGTAAATGCACCAGTAATCTAACACGTGATGATCGGGTGTCCTATCTATACACCTTCCTGGGTGGTACTGTGGCTTTCCTGGTGTTCTAAACCCATTGATCCAGGATTAATGCAGCCTTCCAGTCATAGAAATGATGGGCAGAGTCAGTGTAGGATATACTGTTTGGCCCCCGCAACTTTTCAAACCGATTTTAACTCAAAAGAAAGCTGTCTTTAGAAAAACATGGAGGTTGAAGTTGCTGACCTGTTCTGAAATTGCTAATCATGTGGCTATCATGCTGACTCTCTTACTTTAATCATTAAAAAATACATGTAGACATGCTCTAGATAAATTAATGAAGGCACCTAGATAAATTAATGCTTGTTTATTTTTATAGCTACTAGCTGGTATATCGCATTATTGTTATGTATGTTGAAGGCCAAGTAATCAGAGCCGACTCAAAAACAGCTAATACTGTGACAATTCATTTATACAGAAAAATGGAGATTGGATTCTCAGTAAAGCATTCCCAAAGATAGGAAAAGTATTTCGTGTAGAAGCTGTAATTGATTCACCACCTGAACACATCTACACTCAGCTATTTGAAGAACTTGAACACATGGACCAGTGGAACCCAAACATCAGCAAAGTACAGGTAATAATGTTCATCATATTCCTGATCTGTCAATACCACCAAATTCTGCGCTATGCCTCAGTTTATTATTTGTACTTACCATAACCATGCCTAGCATAGAATAATATCTATTCGGTATGAATTTGTCCGGCCATAAATGGAAGAATCTGGTTCAGACCTTAAGGGAGTCTTTTGCTTTTAACATCTTCATGTCAGACAAGGGGCTTATTAATATGGGTGTCGAAGGACATACATATACAGCACATAAACTAGGAACAGTTTGACTCCAAACATGCATAGCATAAAGACACACTAAGTTTAGGATTTAAATCTTAAAAATGCATTCAAGTACCTTAGCTATTAAGCAAAATGCACCTTATTTGTGTTTATCACTCGGCTGTAGATCCTAAAATCATCTCTGAATTGGTCCCGACACCGTCCTTCCTTCTGGAGGGTGGCTACTTTTGTTCCCCGTCTCTGTGTGTTTTGTAAAGTAGACACGGCTCCAAGCTCGCTACCCTTGATCTCAATACAAATTAGTAAACTAAACCTGAGATTGTAGTCCATTAAAGGCTTGAGTTTAGAGCGGTGACTACTTTACAACACACACACAGGGACCATGGAGAACAAAAGTAGCCACCCTCCAGAAGGAAGGACAATGTCAGCACCAATTCAGAATTGACTTGAGGATCTACAGCTGAGTGATACACAAATAAGCTACATTTTTGTTAAAAGTTAAGGTACTTGAATGTATTTTTAAGATTTAAATCCTGAGTTTAGTGTCTCTAAAAAGTCCAAGTAAAACATACGTTAAAATCAGATAAGGTGCACCAAAACAAAAGTTGTGCAAAGTCTTACAGTTTGTTTTCTTTAGAAAGCAGCCAAAACCTAAGTAGAAAAGCCTGTTTCCTGCCAGTATACTGCAAAGAAGGACCCTTGCTCTCTGTGTTGGTGCATTGGTCTCTCTGCAGAGCTCGGACACATCTCCTGCTGAATCAGAGCTGGAGCTCACCAATCAGCAAATCTCATTCTCCCCGCTGATTGTCGAGCTCTAAGTCTGACTTAGCAGGTGTGCAGGGAGACCACTGCTTCGACATCGAGAGCAAGGGTCCTTCTCTAGGGCATTCTGACAGGAGATGAAGCTGTGCCTGCTTTCTAAAGAAAACACACTAAAAGACTTGGCACACATTTTGTTTGATGTACCTGGAAGCTGATGTAAACTGAAAGTTTAATTCTGCTTTACAATTACAAACCTTAACTGGGCATTATTTACATGACTAAAATGTAACTAAGAACTCTACACATATTCAACAATGTAGCTACGAGTAATAGATGGTTAAAGGGTGACATCATTTTACTGTCCTTTGTCTTGCCATTGTCAATCACCTTGCTGTGTCTAGTAGTATGTGGAAGGCTCCTGACTATGGTCATGGCAGGACATAGATTCTAGGCAGAAGCAGGATTCATATGACAATTTTACAAGGTGTTGATTTGCTAATTGACTTGCCATTCAAAACTATTTGCTCATAATTATTTCACATGTAAAGAAGATGAGTAGGGAAGATAGCAAAAGATACCCTCAGTAATATAAAATCATCATGGTCAATATGTGCAAGCTAACATCAATGAAATATCTTATTTGCAGATCCTTCAAAGAATTGGAAAGAACACACTACTCACAAGAGAAGTGACAGCACAGATCCCGGTACATATGGTCAGCCAGAGAGACTTTGTCAGTGTGCAGCATTGCTGCAGGTCAGGATCCTCTTTATACCTCATTGGAACTGCAGCTCATTCACACTTAATGCCGCCACAAAAAGGAATAATTAGGTATGTATGTTTCAGAGGCCAGATATTGTAATAAGGTTTAGAGGGTAAAGCTCAATGTGAGAAAAAAACTTTGTTTTTGGTACAGTAGTGAATGCTTAGAACCTCTGCAGGGTTTGTATAAGTGGTCTGTTTAGTACAGTGGGGATATTTACACTCACTTTTTGTTGGGGAGATATCCCCTCACTTTAGATCACTTCAGTGGGAGTAGCGCAAACATTCCCCAGCACACTCGCAAAACAAAAAAGACAATTCAAATTGTAGGATTTTAGGCTAAAAATATTGGATTTTGTTGCATAACTGGCAAATACTGTACATGTAAAATCACACGGCCATGTCAAGGACCCTCTGCCAAGTGTGCTCCCTACCTCTCTGTGCTCTAAACCAGGGGTAGGCAACCTCGGCACTCCAGCTGTGGTGATACTACAAATCCCATGAGGCATTGCAAAACTCTGAGAGCCACAAGCGTGACTCCCATAGGCAGAGGCATGATGGCATTTGTAGCTTCACCACAGCTGGAGTGCTGAGGTTGCCTAACCCTGCTGTATCTGAACTTCCAACTTGGGAAATAATTTTTCAGTAAAGGGGAAGAATTACAACCTCTGTAAGGTCAATATTACAGTCTGTGTGTTTCTGTCCCAGTGACAACTGCTTCCTTAATGTCTTGTCCTGCTTTAGATAAACGTAAAAGTTTTCTGGATACAATCTCTTCTATTACACAAAGCAATACAAGTCTGATAGAGGTTTTAACCCTTTCCATACAACATATAGCTAAAACAATTGGACTGTAATTACACTTTAAACCTTACCATACTAGCCAAGCAAATAAAAAATTAGCAGCCTTATTTTTTAAAATATTGCTATAAGACAAATACTGTAAGGTATGTATGCTATACTGTTAGCCTCTTTGTTTGTTCTGCAGGGCAGAAGCTGAACTCACCTGTATTATTTTACGGCCCCTTGAAGGTGACAGGAGGAAAACACACTTCACTTGGCTTCTAAGTTTAGATCTCAAGGTAAGAGTGTAAATGTGTTCATTCATTAACTCTGCACTTCATATTGATATTTCTGAAGCTGGACAAAATCAACTGATAGTGGACAAATTTGCCGAAAATTGGACCTCTAACCTATTTTTTTTTTATTGAAAGATACTTACATAGACTTATATATATATATATATATATATATGGCTTTTCTGAGCATGCATGTTTTTTTTACACTGCAGGGAGAAAGGTGGAATAGGTACCTCTCATTATAGCAATTTTTAATTTTCCCAATTATGAGAAGGGATATTTGTAAAACACAAACCTACTAACAGTGTCTGTTAGCTGAATGCTAAAACTTCTGCAGAATACACTTCAGAATCTCCCTCAGAATAAGTTACCAATTCCAAAAGCTTAAGCCCTCATTCACACAGGAATCGGCCCGCACATGCAGCTCTGTGCTGCGTGCAGGGCCGTACCGAGCAGCTCCCATGAAGGACAGGTGCTGCGTGTGATTAGTATGCAGCCTCCATCCTTCTCTATGGGACAATGCGGCCGCACGCCCCCCTGCGCTCACCCGACCTGCACATCTGTGGATCCTGTCTGCGTCCAAGACAGGAAACACACACCCCTACGGACCTGCACTTGAGGTGACCATATGGCTACATAGTCCCATAGAGAAGGACGGAGGCTGCATACTAATCACATGCAGGACATCTGTCCTTCCTGGGAGCTGCTCAGTACGCCCCTGCATGCTGCACGGAGCTGAACGTGCGAGCCGATTACAGTGTGAATGAGGGCTTAAACTGCCACCAAACAATACAATTTTCAGGTAAGTCAGTGGTTTAAAGAAGAAGCAGCATAGAAGCAGCATATTTGCAGTACTGTTTATTCATCAGCATATGTGAATGGGGATTGATACATATTTTATATAACTACAACAGCACACTGAAGCTGCCTTGAAGTCAGAAAGTGACGTTAGGTTGGCCTGCCCTTCATGTTGTTTTCTGTCTGGAAAACCATTGCTGCCAGATATTTACCTGCATTGAATCGCTCTCCGTCTGGATATAATTGGTAGACATGTGCACTGCCAAAAAATTAGTTTAGTTTCGTTTTGTTTTAAATTTGGATTTGTGTTATTTTCGTTTTTCGGGATTCGGGTGGGAAAGTCAATTCGGATTCGGAATTCGGATTCGGACGAAATTCGGTAGGGTAGTTCGAACGTTCGTTTCGTTTTCTGTTCTTATTCGTTTCTTATTCGTTTCATATTTGTTTCGTTCGTTCGTTTGCAGCAAAGTGACATTTGAGGGGGAAAAATATTTTTCTCCTTCTTTAATGTCACTTTGCTCCAACGAACGAAACAAATAAGAAACGAATAAGAACCGAAAACGAAACGAACGTTCGAACTACCGCTACCGAATTTCGGAAATGGAAATTCGGATTCGTTTGCATTCGTTATGTCTGTAGTTCGGAATTCAGATACATCCGTCTGTAGTTCGGAATTCAGATACATATGTCCGAATTTCCGAAAATTCATCCGAATTTCGATTCGGAACGAAACGAATCGCACATGTCTAATGATTGGATAACCCTGTAGCTAGCGGACTGGAACTAAGAGAGCATTACATGGCTTCTCAGGATGAGACATCTATTCACGCCTCTGCATCTTACATGTTTGGTTCTTTATTAGTGACGTTCAAAAAGGCCAAGGGAGAATCACTGACCTATTAGGCCTAGAGAAAAAGTGCTCCAATGCTAGTTAAACATTTGGCAGCAATTTTGGAGTGTATGTGGACACAAAAAATGAAATAACGTTAAAACTGTTTTAAAAGCTGCATACATACCTGCTAATTCTGCTAGTCCCTTTCCTTGTTCCATAGCTTCATGTTGCTTTCTGTCATTTCTATCCATGGGCTCAGACCTGTGGTAATATGGACACACATTTACAGTTCATCTTTTAAAAGGAACAGCAGAATGATGTGCACATGCAAGCAAGCCTAGTGTTCCATAGTTTTCTGGTGACCATGATAGGCCAACATGCCCATAGTCCTGCTTTTTCTACATTGAGTAACAGAGACTTCCACAAGGAAACTGTAGATGTGCATAGTTGCCTTCACCATAATTATCTCCACCCTTTGCCCTCACTGGTCATGGATAATCTAAACAATAGCATTGTTCTGTCCCTGCTACACATACCCTGTGGCCTGTATATAGCTCGAAATACAGCTAAACCCTCCTATTCTGCAAAAAGCCAGACTGAGTGAAATCTTGATGTTTTGTTAACATAACAGGGTGGGTGAAACTGGTAAAAAAAACATAGAAACATGCAATCAATATGTAAAACAGGTTTATATACAGTAATGTCAACTTACAAATACAGAGAAAAACAAGTCCATCAATACCAGTGATGCTGCCCTAGGGGAATGTGGGCACTTTCCTCCAGATATGTGCTCAGGATGGCAGTGGATTCTCTTCTCCTCTGTTCTAAAATGGAAGCTGAATTCTCAGAATGCTCTTGTTTCCTTCTCTTTGAGCAGAAGGGTGCTGGGAGTTTTACCATAGAAAAACAGTCTATACTATTGTAAATAGAGATGTTTTTCTTCAGCACCATCTTGTGGCAGATTTTGATATGGCATGTAGGTTAGCCTATAATTCCTTAATGCCAAAGGCAGAACAGCAGTCATATGACAGAGATTAGTTTATAATAAAATTATTGCGGATGCTTCTACAATGAATACTTTAGTACACTGAGTGAAACTGCAATTTTGGGATCGCATACCCTTTAAGTTGCCTTCAGGTTTTAAATCTGCTGTTATAACCACATAAGTTTGCTAAACATATACTAATAGTACATAGTTACATAAAAGAAAAACATAACATATGCTCATACCACTTGTGGATATAAGTCCTTAGCACTGCTGAATAGTGTTTTTTCTTGAGTATTCTCTCTAACATCTTTGCATACTTGTGTATATAGCTAACATTACAGGTTGCATTTCATTTGTTATAGTATTGCCATGGTACATAATTACTCAAAATACTGTCTAAATCAGCTACTTAAGCTTTGTTTTTTAAATTTCCAACAGGGCTGGATACCTCAATCAGTTACAGAGCGGGTCTTGTCCCAGTCCCAGGCTGATTTTATCTCACATTTGAGGAGACACCTGTCTTCAGTAGAGAAGATCTGAGTTGCACCCTATTTTATTATATGTATAATGTTAATGTGAAAAAAAGGAATTATGAAGGTTAGCTAATATAGGTGTAATGCATATCACAATGTAGCTAGCTTCAGACCTAGTTTTATTGTTGGGAAATATTGCAGATTTGCAATCAAGGGAAAATAATATACACTTAAATATGTCTTTCAAGCTCACAGGCTTATGTCCTAAGGCACACGAAAACAATGCTGTGACCCTGAGCAGCAAGTTAGATGTCAGATCAAAGAGAGACCACGCACTATAGGTTACTGTGAGTAAGAGCATCTCTTTGAGGGACTATTTCAGCACCCACAATGAAGACACAATCTTGTTTTCACATTTGAACCAAAAATATATTTTGTGGCTGTTATATGCCAAGGGGGTAATTTACTAGAATATAAATGCTGGGTAGAAAAGTGAAAAGCTATTATTTTAGCAGTCTCTAAATGAGCACTCAGGAAGCATAAAATAAACCACTCAGTTTCTATTGCACATACTTTGGACCCAGCTGACTAAAGAGTGAAGTGTGTCTATGTTCACATCAAACATCCAATCATATATAGGGAAATTGAAAGAAAATTAAACTTCTCTTCACGGGACATTTTAAAGGAACAGAGGGTTTATTAAATTAATTTCACCTTAGACATTAAAACATTAGATTGGGTGAAAAGTAATTAATGTATAAAAAGTCGCATTAAATGTTTTGGGCAATCCTTCAATATACAGCTAACTAAAATGATACATGCATGGGCTGTATACTTAGAATGCATGCATGTGATTAGAAAGCGTGACTGTATCCCAAAGCATATGGACTCCATTACAGCAGTCCTTTTTCTAACTGTATCAGTGTATACTAATATGAACGCACAGTAAAAAAAAAAAAATATTTGATCAATTTATGGTTATTGCTGGGCAAATGACTACTAGTTACACATGTGTTTAAATATACAGTTAGGTTAAAAAAATGACATGTGCCCAAGATGTTCAACCAAAAGACAAATGCAATAAAATCCCTGCATTCTCAGAACATTCAGTTGATCCAGAAGAAGCCAAAAAACCCTTATAAAGCATCATCCAATTTACTCTAACAAGAAAATAATCTTCCTGAGCCCCTTAGGCATTTAGATACTCCCTGGATTAAAAATCTAGAGTTTTACTATTTTAAAATATTTATAACTGTTTTTTTGCATTTAGAAGCACATCCAACCTTATTTTAATATGATCTTTTTTTTTTTTTTAATGTGGAATACGAATACAGTATAAAATTAGAAGTGTGCAAATTGATGAATGTGTGGTAATTTGATGAATAATAAACACTTGCGTTACACAGAAATCGTGTTTGTGTCTTTTCTTAACATTTAGGGGGTTACTCACGAAGGAGCTGAAGGATCCAGCCGTAGCTTTGGCTGATCCTTAGGTTCTCTTCGGCTGCCGAAGCCCTTCGGTTTGGTCGAACCGAAGGACTGCTGTACGGGCTATTCACTATAGTCCGTACAGCAGCCAAAGGCGGTCGAGTGGCTCAACTGAGCTGAAGGCATATCCTTCGGCTCGACGGAGCCGAACTGACACCTGAATCGGGGCGAACGGAATCCAGAAGGCCTGCCGTAAGCCACGCAAATGACAGCTGGGTGCAAGTGTCCGTTTTCAAATGGTATGTAAAACAGGACCCCGCGCATGCGCACTAACAGATGGTCTCTGACATCCGCCCAGTTGTCTTTTTTCATTATTATTTTTTCAATCTTTATTTTTACATTTTACAATTTATTTATATTTTTTAAATTTTGTTCAACCTTTTTTTTCCTGACTATTTTCATTGATTTGCCTTTTCTGCTTGGCACCATGGAAATCAGCCATACTGAGCCGGAGTAAACAGCTGAACGTTGATCAGCTTACTTCACTTCGACTGGGTTATTCACTCGGCTGCCTTCGGTAGCTTTGTGAATAACCCCCTTAGTTTCAGACAAACATTATAGTACACATTAATGCTGATTTACTTAAGGATTCAAGAATGCTCACACAATAAAATGTATATAGAGCTCCTTCAGTTATCCAATCATGTGAAAGAAAATCCCTTTTACTTTTTTCATCTGCACATGATTGGATAATTGAAGTGAATCTTCACATATTTCATTGTGTGAACATCCCCAGGTCCTTTAGTAAATCAGCCTTTTTGATTTAACACTGACTGCAGCATCCCTGGGGTCAGTTTACCATTTTAACCATAGGTCAAAAGGGATTGGAACAAGGATAACTGAGGCCACAATGAGTACAATGGAGGGTGACTGTGGCTTGCATGGTACCCCAAGTTAATCAGTATTCACTTTATTTATAGTGGAGGTGAAGGGGATCCCTGCTGCCCAGATATTGTAAAATGTATTATATTTGTCTTTACAGAGATGTACCCACTTCTTTGCTTCCATAATATGGTGTGCTCTGTCAACTGCTTTACCCTTGGCAGCATTAATAAAGTAGGCAAGAACAGCACATTTTTAGGATTGGGAAATCGTGTCATAAAAAGGGTAGTGGATTGTCTTGCATGTCATCATGAATGACATTGACAATTAGTGTATGGGTCTCAATCCAGAAAAGTCTGATCTTGGTAAAATAGCATCATAAAAGGAGGTATGAATTGCACTGGCCACATCCTCCCCAGCAGAACGTGTAAGTTTAATCTTTTTTTAAACTTCCATCTGTTGCCTACAGCCTAAAGATAGAGGAGTGTTTTCCTTGGGTGAACCATGGTAACCCTTCCAGGCTGGCAAGGGGAGAAGGTGAGGGAGCAAAATCTAAATCTCTGGTTCTATTCATGCTGTCCTAGGCTGTGTGTATGGGTATAAGGGAGCCAATGCTCAAAGGCAAAATTACGGTCAGCCAAGGATTTCTCTAAAGATACCACCCTAAAGTATCAATATACTTTCGGAAGCCCTAGGCCTTCCTCTCCTTTGGGCCTTGTGAGGATTCAAAAGGCCAGTCTAGGTTTTGTGCACTTCGAAATAAAGCTTAAAACATCTTCTCTGTTGGATACAGAAAGTTTTAGGATGTGGAATTGGGAACATCTGGAGGAGGAATAAAATTATTGGCAGAATGTTCCTTTTTATTATGTTTATCTTGTCTAGCCATGTTAAAGTGATTCTATGCCAATCTCTAAGATCATTCTCGAAGGAGGAAAGTAGGGGGCCATAGTTTCTCCCATAAGGAAATTTCTGTTTGGCAATAAGCTGAATTCCAATGCACTTTAACAAGTGCAATTTCTACTAAAGGGATGGTTCCATAAGAAATAAGCGATGTCCAAAGATAATACGATTGGCAAAATGTCCAACTTAAAAAAATGTATGTAAGTTGCATATCTCAGCCTGGCTGAGCTTTCAGGATGCTTTCCTTTAGCCCTCGTTATGGAAGCATGTACTACTCCAACCCATGCACATTCAATTAATTTTACAGATTATATGCTATCCTTCTAAAGAGATATACAGTACAGGCTAGTACTCGAGTGGTTAAAGGCTAAGTCTACCTTTCTGACTATGTTTCATGTTACACCCATATTCAGGGTGTACCATAAAACATGGTCAGATCATGCTCAGCTCAAAAGATAGCCACACACCATCGGATCTTCAAATAATAAATCCAATATTTATTTGTAATACAAAAGTGCATACCACAGACATGCTCCCCAATACAACAAGTGTCCTCTTGCACGTTTCACTGATCAGGCTTAATCATAGAGGTGAACACGCACTTGTTTTGCCTGCACCTGTGGGATCTTTGTGCTGGGGATGCAGCCGGAGAATTGGAGAGGTGAGATTTCTCTGTGAACTGTATGGTCAGTTGCAATGCTTTACTGGCTCCTATGCAGAAAAAATAATAAATGCATTTTTTTTCTTTATGAAAATGCATGTATTTTTTTTCAAAAGCTTGATTTACCCTTTAAAGAATTTCTGGGAGGGGCTATCTCTCTGTCTGTAGCAATCTGTCTTTTGATTTCAATGTTTGCCTTTATGATTTTTTTTTTTACAGGATCCTGATACTTTTATGGCCTTTTGAGGTAACAACGTGGCGGCCTGTTTTTTTAGTCCACTGCATCATCAGGTTGCCCTTTGTACACAGTAGCTGTGACACATCCAATTTAAAGAAGAATCCAGGCAACATTTGTATTAATCCTTGCAGTGGGGCTACCCCCGCACTGCAAGAGTTAACTGTTTATTTTTGTCTAGGTGCTTAAAAAAAAGTTATGCCCACTTGAACCGCGAAGCTGGCTTGCTCTTAGACTGTTCTCTGGAATCACTCTCCCCCTCCACTTCAACAGTCCCATTAATCATCACATTCTATACACTGTGTATGGACGTGAGGATGCCGAGGAAAATGCCAATGCTGCAGCAGAGGAGTCAACAGGCTTCAGAGACTTAAGCAGCAAGCAGCTGGCTTGGTGGTTTGGGTGGGTATAACTTTTTTTATCACCTAGACAAAAGCAAGCAGTGCTGGGGTGGCCCCACTGCAAGAGTTAATAAATGTTTTGCCTGGAGTTCTTCTATAAACTGGATGAAATTAGAAATTTAGCATATAGATTACAACCAATGGAGCAACTTAAGTTGCATTATTAGTTATATTGTAGATTTACATTTTTACATGTTTTACTTTATTTTTGTCCTGGAGGCACAACAAGAAGTGAGAGAAAATATCTTCAACATGAGTTGGACAGTTGTCAACGAAACAGGTGTCCCCACTGAAAGATTTTCTGTTACCTTCTGTTCAGGTGACAACTGTAAAATATAAAACTTGTCGTCACTTTCTGTCCCTATAACAATAGTCACCAGTACAAATAAAGAATGTAAATGTCTACATTGGGGGACACAGGCAACAGTAAAAACCTGGTAGTTGTTCTAACCCGTGCTCAGACCATTCAAAACATTAAAAAAATGACTCAAGATACATTTGAAATTTTGAAGAAAGGAATTGCAAGTAATAGCAATTGTTCTCTAATAATGTAATGTACAAATATGGGGTTTCATGTGTATTTTCTCATGTGTATAATTAAGAAGTGCTAAGGACAGTATTGGATCAACAGGTGTCATATGTATTCTAGAGCAGTTTTCCAAAATGATACTAGAATGGAAGTAAAATGGACATTTAAATC